TGATGACCTCTGTAGTGTCTCCTTCTGCTATGATTCTTGAATCTCCTATTCTCCATGATTCAAAATAGTACAACTGGATGGGTCTGTGGCTGCTACTTCTAGATGGCCCAAATACTCAATGTCTTTGTACTAAGTCATAGAATGTTTAGTTGGTCATATATTCTCCCAGCCACCCTGTAGGCAGGTGTGACCAAGTGTCCAAATTCTGAGGATGAAAAGAGAGGACTGTGGCCATGTGGCTTCAACTTAYTCTTTCTTCATTCCGGTGGAGGAGGGCAAATGTCTAGAATGGCAGAGCAATAAAACAGGCACCAGGTGTCTGAGACCATAAAACATCATGGGAGTGGAGCCATCATACCCAGTTCCAGCATTTATGTGAGACAAAAGTCAAGAAATGTTGTCTTGGGTCTACTTCAGTAGCCAGACTTATTCCTACCTAATGTAAGGGGCCATGGATATGGTTTCATCTCATTTCTTATTTTGCAGATGAGAAAATGACATCTAAAGTGACCAGACTGTTTCCACAGCATGGTGGTGGAGTAGCTGATACTAAAACTCTGGGTCCAAGATCTAGCACATGCTCAGGTATGAACCTCAAGTGAGGGCAGGGCAGGAAGTGGCTCTAGAATTTTGCAAATCATTTTTCAGTTTCAAAGACAGATGTTAGGGGGGATGACTTGATTGCACAATATCCTTTTTCATTTGTGATGTGTAAACAGGCTGGGGAGGGAAGTGCAATTGAAATTCAGGAAACAGCATGACCGGGGAAAGCATATCCCTAAATGCCATATATTTTGATAACATCAGTATTTGGAGCAGGATAGYTGGGAGTGTAGGAATTCAACACCCAGGAAAATTTAACCTATATACAAATCAGACAAGAGCCTTAGAGAGAAAGCTCTTTGTAGGAGAGGAGGAGGATTTGGCACATACATGTTTTGAAGGCAACTGAGCAGACAGGCTGCATGGGCCAGAGTTCTTGCTAGTAGAGGGAGGTGAGGGGTAAAGAAATCTGCACATAATAAGGTCTGAGCACTAGTGTGAGGTCGGCGCCACCAGCAGCCCCCATCTCAGCAAGGATGCTTTTTTAGCACATTGACTATCTTCTCATTATGCAATTATGACAGAGGCCAGTGTTTTCACCAGAGTATGTCTCTACGGAGTTTCTTGTAATTAGACTCTTTTGTAAATCATGGATTCTGTATACAAAATAGAGAGATGCCCCATCACAAATTATGTAAGGATAGCAAGCTATGTGCTTACAAAACTAAAAATACTTGAGGTGGGCCAACCAGCTGGTGAGACTAAAAGGCAGTGTGATCTATATGGARAGCTGTGGCATCTTGGTCCTCAACTTGAGGCCTCTGGTGAGACCACCTGACCTCCTTGTGCCTGGAGCACTTCTCTGTGGTTGTTGCCTGGTCCTGAGATTGCTTATTGAGACTTCTAGGCACCTGAAATGGAGGGATTTACACAATGAGGGCATTTAGGATTTGCTTTTAGCATATAAACAATGCTCCTAGAACTGGAAAGATTGCAATAATTCACCAATTCAAATTCTACTTTTTTTTTAACATGAATAAACTCAGGCTTAGGGAAGTAATATTTTCAAGTTCACAAATCAATTCAGAAGTAAATTTTTAAAAATCAAGTCCCCTGATTCCCAAGGTGTTTTTCATGCTATCCAAATGCAAATACAGCCTTGGCCATAGTTTTCATAATCACCCAATACACAGATTAGGACTTATTTACCCTTTAAAAAACACATGGCAATATGGATTGAAATTGAAACAAAGGGTAGAGTCATTCACACATCTGGAGAATACTGTCCTTAAAGGGTTATGACTTAATACACAGGTTGGCTATAGGTACACAGAACTGAAGCCATGTTGTACTGGGCCATTGGCCTGATCAGTGTGACATAGTAAATGGACTCTTGAGCATATCCTGAAGAATAATAGCTTTGCTCTAATTGGTATTATTAATAGCGAGGGATGTTTCTTGTTTGTGTACACATATACATGGTTCATTGGCAAACCATAGAGGTCCCTTTATGTCTAGGTCAATGGCTTTGGAAGTGAGAGTGCACTAATTTACAGAGGAAGATAAATGTGTATATGGGAGGCTGGATACTAGTGAAGAAAAGGGTTTTAGTTTTATAATCCCATGGACAAGAAGGAATCTCAGGAAGGCCCTAATGCTGGGCCAGGTATTGAAGGTGGTCAGGAATAATAGGTAGATGGTGTGGGGGCTGTGAGAGGGTGTGCTGAGGAGACCAAGCAGGTCACCTAGGTGGGGAAGAATTTTTGAATTAGTCAGGTAAGGGAGACTTGAACTGGGCATTGATAAGATTTGGAACCTAGGATGGAAGAATCTAATTGTATAATTTCAGTAGGATTTCCCCAAAAAACTAGGTAAAATGAAACTCTCCTTCTTTTGTCTAGAGACCCATACTTGGTCATCTATACACAATATGTGTCCTCAGTCTATATATGTTGACCACTTATGATAAAATGGGTGATTGCATACAGCAACATCTAGAAATCTTCTACTATCACAGTGGCTTTTTTAATACCTGTATTTTATTMTAAAATATATAGACATAAATTTACCATTTTAACAGCATCAAATACATTTATGGAGTTGTACAACTCTCACCATTATCTTTTGCCAAGACATTTTCATCATCCCAAATAGAACCTTTGTACTCATTAAATAAAAACAAACAAAACTCCTCAGCCTTGGTAATCTACCTTTAATCGACTTTCTATTTCTATGAATTTACTTCTTTTAGGTATTCAATAAATTGAATCATATAATATTTGTTATTTTGTGTCTGACCTATTTCAATCAGCATGAACTAAAATAATGGCTCTGAGTTTCATTCATGTTGTWGCATGTATCAAAATTTCATTCCTTTTTATCATTGAATAATATTCCATTATATATAATTTTATTTTTGTAATTTTATTTCTCCATTTATGTGTTGGTAGACAACTGGGTTTTTTCTACCTTTTGGCTATTGTAAATAATGCTTCAGTGAACACTGGTATACAAGGATCCGTTTGAGTCCTGGCTCTCAATTCTTTTGAGTATATACTTACAAGTGGAATGTTGGATCATATGGTAAGACTATGTTGAAAATTTTGAGGAAACCYCAAAATATTTTTTACAGTGATTGCCCCAATTAACATTCCTATCAGTGACCTACGTGAGTAGAGTACCTTTTTTACATTATTTATGTCCATATTAGACAAGATTTAGTTAGGAAAAATAGAAGTTACTTCATATGTTCTGCATTTAAAAAAGGGTTTAAAACATAATTAGAGGCTTACATACCAGTTGGAAGACTTTGGAGGTAAGAGAAGCTGCTGCCGAAGGTGTGAGGGATTGTTCCTGAAAGTCAGAGGAGGTGTTCTTCAAGGAACCCAGGCTGAAACCAAAGCAGCTGGCTTTYAAAGCCTTGCCTGGAATTCTTGAGTATCTCCAATGAACTCCTATTACCGACTGACCAGGAAGCCTTGAAGAACCTCTTATCCTTCCACACCATCTCTGATGCCTGATGGCTTCCCCTTCCTTTCAGCCTTCCAAATCTCCTGTGAGTTCCTCTCATTGGAAAACCATGTACAGAAGGGGTCTTGGGAAGTGTAGTTCCCAATCCTAGAAGGGAAAAGAGGTGATGCCAGCCAATAATGCGCAGGCTTACCCAATTTATACTCTTCTTTCTTCCAGTAAGGATTCTAAGCAACTTATCAAGATGGATAAAATGTAATCGATTGATGTAAATTCAGTCAATCAAATGTTGACATGAAGACAGTTACAAAGAGGGAAAACAGAGCCAGAAATAAGGCTGATCATGTCAGTTATCATCTGGCTTACCATGGCTGACCCTCATTGTGAGCTGCCTAACACAGAATTTGTACTTTCCATAAGACTAAAAATTGTTGTTGGAGATGGGGAAAAGTTTTATCAAAAATGAAAAAGAGATTCATTGCAGTGGGAGGAACAGGGAACACTGAAGAGAGATAGCAATCATTTAACTTGCATCTTTTTAAAAACAAAATATTTATTTTTTAGGTGTAGTTGAACATAAACCTTTATTTTATTTATTTATTTTTATGTGGTGCTGAGGTTCGTACCCAGGACCCTGCATGTGCTAAGCGAACGCTCTACCACTGAGCCCCCAACCCCAGCCCTAACTTGTATCTTGATGGCAAATGACAAGGGCCTTCCTCTGTGTGTGTGTGTGTGTGTGTGTGTGTGTGTGTGTTGTGTGTGTTGTGTGCTGTGCGAATGGTGTATGAGGTGTAAATGATGTATGTGTTGTGTGTGTGATGTGTGGGGTGTATGTGTGGTGTTGTGTGTATATGTGTGCAGGGTATGTGTAAGAGGGGGTGACATGGAGGATTTTTAGAGCTTTGGTCTCTTCATGATGTTGGAGGCTTGAACTCCCAGAGCAGACTGAGATYAACTTGAGAAACAAGTGAGACCCGCAGAGCAGCGAGCTTGGGGTACAGAAGGAAGGCYTCCTACATCCCGCATCAGCACCTTGTGATCTGACAGGAGTTTTCAGATCAGGCATTTACACCACTGAATTTCCCAGGAGTTACCAATAACCTTTGAATAGGCAACTRCCTGGAGGAAGGAGGGAGCAGAGAGAGCTTTGGAGGATGAGTGATGTGGGACCACACAGGGCTCCCACATTGTGGATTTGAGAAGCTGCCCATGGCCCTGCAGTCGGGGCCAGCATAGGGAGATGTTGGTCAGCTAACACGGCTGACTGAACAAACTAGTGGGGACCTCGGTTACATTTTAGGGCCCTGATGATCCTCCGGGGATGGTAGGTGTGGGGTTGGTACCCCTGCCCTGCTGAGTCCTCCAGCACCGCAGGCACCTTGGATATCCTGTGTGAGAGACGGTTGTCAGAGCAGGCTGCAGAGTGATTAATGGCCACACCAGCTGCTTACACAGCGGAGAGAGCTGATTTCCTGCCCTCTGGGGTCGGCCAGAATTCAATGAGGCTTGGAGAAAGAATATGCCAGAATGCCTTTGCCCTTTTAAAGAAGAGGAGGCCAGGTAAGATTCAGCATCCTCTCCAGGTGGCTGGGGAAGTGGCTGCTGCTTCTCCTGATTTTAGTGGAAAAGGCTGCTGTTGCTGACTCTGGGCAGTGAGACAGGGAAACTCCCCTCCAGCTGAGCTGACAAAAATTGTGTGTGTGTGTGTGTGTGTGTGTGTGTGTGTGTGTGTGTGTGTGTGTGCGCACACGTGCACATTGAGGTCATTGAGTGCCCCAGGGGTCAAATCTCTTAGTTTCTGGGGGTCACACTCTAAACAGACACAGAGGCAGGAAATGCTGAGGGTTTGGCTGGACTGTAAATGCTCTGGCTGGGTGAGGGTGAATTAAGATTAGAAATATGTACTTGTTTCAAGCTCCACTTTGAAATTCTGTCTTGCTTTGAGTGACAGGACTATATCCTCTATGTCTGGAAACAAGGGTCARAGCTGGAATCAGCAGAACTGGCAGGAGAAATTGTAAAACATTAGTCATGTCCCTCACTCAGGAAACGTCCCTCTCTCCTCAGTGGCTACAAGAATTTCATTTGGCCTCTCTTGCCAAAACTGAGTGGTGAATAGAGGCATCTGGCTGGGAGTTTAAGGCTAAGCTGGGATAGCCAGACACATAAGTATACAGCAGTTGACAGCAGTTGGCTATGTGGGAATTCAGAACCCAACCTTGCAGGCCCTGAAACTAGGCTACCCCTCCACTTCACCACTGCCGGTCAGGCCAAGGCAGCAAGTGGGCACATGTGTTTGGAGTCCAGGTGTCCAGCTCCCCACTTTGGGGACTCCAGGAAGTTCCCCAACTCCCTGAATCTTGTAACCCTTTCATGACCACCATCTCTTCCTCTGACTAGGTGCCACTCAGGAGGAAACACTATTTTTGGGATGCTGAAATTTTCTCTCTGTACTTTCTTCTCTCCTTCCCCTTCCTCCACCCATCTTCCACCCAGGTCTTGGGGGAGAGTGGAATTTGAGTTTAAGAATCTCCACCTGTCATTCTTTTTTTTTAAAAGAATTTTAAACTGGTACACAATATTATAGGGTACAGTGTGACAATTCAGTACAAGTCTACAATGAATAATGATCAAATCAATTTCCTTATCCTTAAATAGCAAACACCATTTTAGAAACTAGTAAGTAGGAGACGGATGAAAGCATGGCTCAGTTAGATTTGGGTTGACTRTAGTCCTTTTTGGGGAAAAGAAGGTTCACCTGTGTTCCTAAGAGTGGACAGTGAGGCTAGTTCATGGCAGAATCCTCACTGGCTGAATAAATCAATCTAACACATTCTGCACCAGAAGCCACATTGGGGGGTGACTCAGCCAGCAGTCACCCAGGGGTGATTTCTCCCACATGTTGCTGCAAGATGCAGGATGGCAAGAGAAGCCAGACTCAGAAAGGAGAGATAGGGCTCCCATCCCACTTCCACTCTCCACACCTGGGCTGCTTGGGGCAGGTTGCTCCAGGTTTCTGAAACTCATTGGTGAAGGAATGAGATTTCACCTCTTGAAGACAAAGGGCTGGACAGCCTCTCTGAGGCTCCCCTCAGCTCTGAGAAATTTGGGTCTATGAATTATACTTGCTTTTCTTTTGAGCATCAGACTCTTTCCATTCCTACTGGGCTCCTGAGGGATGCCAGAGACTATTCAGAACCTTAAGAGGCACTATCTTTTCCTTCCAGAAAATGGAAGGTAGTGTCTTCAGGCAGCTATAGCAGAATACTATAGACAGCATTCCTTAACAGAACAGAAGATTATCTCGAATGGTTCTGGAGGCTGCAAAGTCTAAGATCCAGGGCCTGCTTTCTGGTTCATAGGTGGCAACATTCTGCTGTGTCCTCACATGGTGAATAGAGGGAGGGAACTCTCTTGGGCTGCTTTGATAAGGGCACTAATCCCATTTCTGAGGGCTCCACCCTCACCTAAAAGTCTCATCTTCTAATATCATTCCTTTGAGGGCTAGGATTTCAAGATACAAATTTTGGAGAGACATAAATATGCAGATTATGTGAGAATCTAAGGAATATGGCTACTGAGAGAGGGAGRGGAGAAGGAAGGTAAGAGGAAAAGATGAGTGAGGAGAAGAGTGAAAAAAGGGAGAAGAAGAAGGGGAAGGAGGAGGAGTGGAATAGGAGGAAAGAAGGAAGAAAGGGAGGGAAAAAATGTATCCATTGTCTCTAATGGGACTTTTCTGGGTTGGGGAATTTGATTAAGGAGCCTTGGACTGATCAATATTGGTGTCTTATTCAGTCTCTATCAATTGCTGATTTTCTCTGATCTGAGGAAACTGTTTTCAGACGTGTGTTACATACCCCAGGGAGTCCCCAAGGAGAGAGATCAGATGGCTCCATACAAATTCATTCCCATCACCAGAGATGCACCTTAAAGTATATCACTGCACAGGAATAATCCCCACACTAATGATCACTTTCATTTATTGAACACTCATAAACAGAAGACCCATCTTCAGCTCCTTAATGGGCACTACTCATTTCATTTTTACAACCCTATCGGGTAGGTACAATTATGATCCCCACTTTTGATCTGGCTTGCAAACTAACTTACCCTAAATCACTTAGCTAACAACACCTGGATGCATGTCTGTCTAATTCCAGAGCCAAACTAGAATGTATGACATGCTTTAGACTCCTTAAACAAAAATCTTTGTCTCCCTGGGACCACATCTGGGCCAGACACAGTGTAAGTGCTCACTGAATGAATGAAGAATTATGGAAGGGCAATGAGGTCAATGATTGTAGGGCTGGTAAGAAAATTTATATCCTGTCCCAAGAATCAAGTTTCTTTAATAGATTTTCAAGGTAAGCCCCCAAAACAGAAAGGGTCTGTTTTTAAGCAATGCCCATGCATAAGTGCAATTTTTAATTTTGCAACCACACAGGGCCCTGAGTTTCCCTTGTGTATGAGATCAGCATCCTGAAATCTCCAAGACGAACCAACCCCAAGATGTCTTGGACCACAGTGGCTTTCTTTCCAGCCCACCCACATTGTGACCTGCACCCTAGAGTTGTCCTCAAAGACATGCTAAGGAAATACATTTGGGAAGGAAGGAGGTTAATGGAGCCCAGGGTCCAATTCCACATTTGGCATGGCCCCAAGGACACTGTAAATGTAGTCAGAAATATGACTTCCAGTTGACTCTATGGGATGCTGGTTTCAAAAGAGTTGTCATTCTTGTCTGTTTACCACATACCTCTTTGTAACAAGCTCTTCTTTTCTAGAATTTTTGTCTATTTTCCCTGGCATTTTGTATTTTGGTAATTGACTAGAAGAATGGTTCTATAACATAAATCAACAATGAAAAACAAATTACCCCTGCCTGCATCCTTTCATTTCTTTTTCATCTCTAATGATATTTTCTGTATGATGACTAACCCAGACTGACGTAATTTATCAATTGATCTCGACGATGTACATTAGAAAATGCGTTCTGCAGGCCCCAGCAGGCAGTCTTCCATGTGTGCCACATTGCTTTAGAAAACCTATTAATGCAACAGAAATATTGAAAGCCCAGCCTTTGTGCTGAGAATGTTAGAACCGGTGCTAATTACTTTATTAATCATAAGGTGAAGCAGCAGCGCTTATGTCACGGCAGCTGTAAAATAAGTGGTTTTATGGCAAATGTAGTTAAAAGGAAACGACAGGTTGGATTTATGGTATTCAGCTGTAGAAAGGAAGGAAGAGAGTAAGAAGGAAGGAAGGAAGGAAGGAGAGAGAAAAAAGAAATTGTTCATGTAAGCAATTTTCTTTCTTTGGTTATTTGTTCATTAATGCATGCCACTAAACATTGTTTGTAACCAGTCCTCTCTAATAGGTTCAAGTCCTAAGAGAATTTATTTTAAAATATAAATGAAAACTTAAATTTGCCTTTTTAATTAAAAATAAAAAGAATACAGTGAGTCAACATTTCACCTCCTGAGGGAAAGAAGAGAGACAGAGGGATCCTGGACCCTGGGACCTGGAGGATACACTTGCATTTAGGATTCTGTCTGTGCCTGTTGGCACTTGCCATGTGAGGGCAGGAGGATTTAGTGTCTATGGTCCTGACTGAGGCCACAGTGCAGCTGTAAGATAGGACTACCACTACCAAGATCATCACTACATTTGCAATAAGATTTTGTTTTCCTTAAAGTTAGTCTGTGAGTAAATTACTCTTCTACAAACGACTTGTTTCTTTCTAAAAGTATGTTTGGACTTATAAGTAAAGAAAATCAGGCTTTGTTAACATCTCACTTTCCATTGTGGATTAAAGCCATTTGTGTGTGCACCTGCGTGTGTGAGAGAGACGAGTGTATTGCAGATACTTTATATGTTAATCTGTTAATGACTGTCTGTAATTCTCAAAACAGTGCTGTGTTCCAGATCGCAAGATGCTGTGTCTACAGGGCCAACAAGGCTCAGTCATCTCTGAAGGCAGTGACAATCTGGAATTCCAATTCAGAACTTCCAGATTTCAAAATCCTTCTTTGCCTTATACCACGGATGTTTCCAAATAAAATACAAAGCAACATTATTGAATATTGAGTGATGGGTGATTTCACAAAGTGAAATGGTGAGTTATTATCTGTTATTATCCTCATAGGTACACACAACAAAGAAAGTAAGTTACCAAAGCCTTAGCTTAGCTAGTGAGTGAATTCAAATCCCAAACTCTTGACAGGAGTCTTGGGCCATTTCTTTTCCTTTTTTAAAAAATTTTCTTTGACAAAGGGATTTCCTATGTTGCTTAGACCAACCTTAAACTCCTGGGCTCAAGCTGTCCTTCCACCTCAGCCTCCTAAGTTCTTGGGACTACAGGCACATGCCACTGTGCTTGGTTTAGGGCCACTTCATTATGGTCTCCGTACCCACTTCCACCAAATTATCAGCAGTCCTAGGAACTTTCTTTTTTAGTAATAAAGCCTTCCTGGCTAAAAGTAAAGTTTATTTTCTTTTGTTTTGCCTTTTATGATCAGTGAAAAAAAGCTCATCCCCATCCTTAGGTAATCTTATGCACAGTGTCAACTCTTCAAATCATCCTTAAACAATCCCAAATCACTGTGTTTTCTTTTTGTAGAGACAGTATTTCTCGTCACTTCTGATCACACAGAATCAACACAGAGAAACCAGACAAAGGAAACTGCTGCCTAAAACAGAACATGCCATCTTTTTATGTCACAGCTGGAGCTAGTATTGTTTTAAACAGATAAAAGGTGGAATTGAGGACTGAATTTGGATGAAGCTCTCAGATCACCCAACAAATGATGCTTTCTCATCTCCCTCAGACAGGCCTACTGGCCCCGTACATGAGCTCTGAAGAGGTTCCTAAGGAGAAGGGGGTGGGAGTTAAGACAAGCAAGGGGCATTAGGAGAATCTGGAAGCAGAACTTAGAGACTGGAATTCTGGAGCAAGACTCCACATGGGAAGTGATGCAAAGGGGTCTAGACAGGAATTTAGCAATAATACTGGGCTATGAAAGAATGTGGAGAGTGGTGACAGAGATTGGGAGAGCAGTGTCTGAGACTGGGGTCTCTGATGACCTCATGGCTGTGGCAAGCCTGCTGCCTGGGAATGTTCCTGTGCAAGGGTGCAGGATGCCTAGATGCTGTGGCCATGCCCTCCATGAGGAGGTTCGGTGGAAGAGTTTTATCAGTCTTGACCTTGATCTCAGGGACATAGTTCCTGGAAATGGAGGAACTCTCCTGCTAGACAACCACAATATTTCACCAGCTCCACTACTTCCAAAGCTGCCCTCTTAACAATAACTAAACAATGGATTTTCTTGAAAGCTACACAAAGCTCCTAACATTGCACATTGCAACTGTAAACTGCAACTGCAGAAAAGCCACATAAATGTTTCTAGCCCTGTAACTTTCTGAGTACAAAGAATAATGAGACATATATAAATAAAAATTGCTGGCATAACTCTTTAGATCTACTTCTCTATCAGAGAGAAGCACTCCACCTGGTCCCAGCTATTTAACTTCAAAATCTGTGCTTGTGAGTCTTTATTTTCTAATCCTCCATAGCCTCTCCCAGAACCTGCTAGATTGGCCTACTGGTAGTGGCAATGRAGGTCAGAAATAAGAGCAAGAGTGAAAATCCAAGCCAGTATTACCATCTTGCTCAATGTATTACTGAACCATTTGGGTGCTGTTACAGTTTTGATCTTAAATGTTCCCCCAAAGGCCCATGTGTTGGAGGTTTGGTTGATAGTGAGCTGCTATTGGGAGGTGGGTGGAACTTTTAAGAGGCTGAACCTAGTGGAAGGTTTTTAGGTCATTGGAGACATCTTATGGAAGAAGATGGTGGGATCTCAATTCCTTCCCCTTATTTTATTTTATGTTTCAGCCATGAGATGACTGTTTTTTATTTGCTATATGTTATCTCCACGATGTGCTTCCTTGCCCAAAGCAATGGGACCAACAAATCATGGGCTAAAACTTCTAAAACTATGAGCAAAATGAACCTTTTCCCTTAATAAGTTGATTACCTCAGGAATTTTTTGTAGTAATGGAAAGCTGACTAACAGAGGTCCTTAAATTCCTTGATGAGCATTGTAAGTCCTGGGATCTAGGTTAAGTTCAAGGCAGAGTCTGTTGTATAATTGGTGGGGGAAAATGCAAAAATAAATTTGCAGGATTCTCTTTTAAAAGTTACAAAAATTACTGTTAAAGTTTCTAAAATATAAAACTTTTTCTTTTCCTCCTGGTTTCTTTATTCATTATGCTAATGTTTAATTGGGTATTTAATATTGTATTTCCTGCTAGGCATGGTAGCCCTTGTAATTCCAGAGGCTTGGGAAGCTGAAACAGGAGGATCACAGTTTCAAAGCCAGCCTCAGTAACTTAGCAAGGCCCTGAGCAACTTAGTGAGACCCTGTCTCTAATTAAAATATTTTTTAAAGCCCCCCTGGATTCAATCCTTGGTAGAAAATTAATTTTTAAAAAATATATATAATTTTCTCTATCATGGGGATACTTTCAAGGGCTAGTACAAACTCTCCCAAGTGACTGTAGATGTGTCTTGAGACTTGGCAGTGTTGCTCACCAGCTTTCAGGGCATCTTCTATTAGCCACCAGATCAATGTGTCATACCCAGTCTTTGTATTAATCCATTTCCACTGCCATTACAAAATACCTGAAGATGGGTACTTTATAAAGAGAAAAGATTTATCTAGCTCATAATTTGGGAGGCTGAAAGTCCCAGATTAGGCAGTCCCACCTGCTCAGCTTTGGTGAGGACCCCCTTGACTGAATCACATCAGAGTGGATGACATCATGTCAGAAGTGTGTGCAAAAGGGGGAATCACATGTGAGACAGAAAGCCAGAGAGCTTTTTTAAGCGTCAGACTTGCTCATTTATAGGAAAAATATGAGAACTATTTTATTTTGCAAGACCAACATTAATCCCTTCTGAGAGTGATGACCTAATGACCTAATTACCTCCCAGTAGGCCCTTTTAAAGGTTCCAACATCTCTTAACATCACCACACTTTGGACCAAGCTTCCAGCACATGACCCTGTGAGTTGGAAGTCAGCCCCAACTCATGGAGGACTCATGACCAAAGGGTTTGCAAACTCACTAGTAGCAAATGGTTGATATCTGGGGAGAGGGGATGGGTTGAATGCTAGGATGCCTGCTGACCAGTAACAGTGCTACCAGCCCAGGATGGGGGCAGTTGTAACCATGCCCTGCCCCGAGACATCATCCTGATTTTCCCAGCATTCCTGTCTGTGCAGGGGTTCCCTGGGGACAGTGAGTGATGGCAGGTAAGGACCTTTCACCACCACCACCCCCACTCTATCTCCAACCTCTATCTCCAAGTAATTCCAAGATCCGGGTGCCTGCTCCACTTTCCCATCAGACTTTGGTTACACAATAGAAGTTCAAAGACAGAATGAAGCATTTCAAGACCATGATCTTAGAGCACCTACGTGCCCAGCTCAGCTCTCTGGACAACTGCAGTGGTCACACACTATGAAGCTGGCCCAGATTTGAGGTGTGGCCTCAGAAACTCCACAGCACAGATAGTGGGAGATGATAGGGCTGGAAGGCCAGGCGGGCCACAGCAGTGTGAATTTCTATTTATATGTGCCTCTTCTAGGTGTTCCATGGCTTTCCCTGATTTGGTGTGTCATCCTTCTCTCAGTTTTCTCATTCTCTATTAATACTGGTTCCGTCACTCTTTAGGTATCTGGACTGACATTAATATCTCTGACCTTTAGTCTCTGCTTCTCTTTTAGCGCTCACATCCCTTGATGCCACGAACTTATGGGGTTTTGAAATCTCATATTGGATTATTAAGTCAGATGACATCCTGGGTAGCTCATTCTGTCCCTGGTCTGTCTGTCTTGTGTTTTTAAAAAGGGGCCACCAGCATTGCCAAAWATCTCCTTCACATGGGCATGGCTGCTGTTTAGATGATGTTTTAGGGAGGTGGGGCCTCTGTGCCCGTTGATTATTGAATGATTGACAGGGGAAGGTAAATACAGCTTGACTCACCTCTTGTTAGGAATTAGTGTCATGCCACTTCAAGGGGCTGTGAAAGATAGTCCACATTCTGGTGCACAGAGTCAAGGCCCCAGAGGTGTGAAAACCTAAGTGTGCACATCCAGAAGCCACAGATGAATAAGCACCTCACTGTCCCACTGTACCCTGGCTGTGTGAGCACAAGCCAGCCATGTTCCCTCTTTTGCCCCCAGTTTTTCATTTTTTTTTAAATAAAGAGCACAGAATACCTTATTCCCAGAGTTCTTTCTAAGCTCAAAAATAGAATATTTTACGTCTGTGAATCAGCAATTTCCATCTTCTCAGTGGCTGCCATGTTCTGGGGATGGCAGGCTTCCCACATCTCCCAGGCTTTATTTCTCAAGGCAGCTCAGGTCACATCTCTGAGGTCTGCAGGAAGAGGAGAGGCACACTTGGGGCTCTGTGTGCACCTTTTAGCTCTCAGGCCTAAGGGCTGGCAGTGAAGTATCTTTGCTGGCACTGATGAATGCCTGCAGCAAGGAACCATCTTTAGGTGAAATCGCCATAAATGGATAAGTGCAAAACATCCCCAGTGACTCAGAGCCTGCCCAAGCCCCCCACCTTGAAGCAGTTTTCTGAGGATACTGCCACTACTTCTCTTGCCCCTGGGGGCAAAGTTGTTCTGCAGATCACTGCCAAGTTCATTATTGGAACAATTCAAAGATGCCAGCAGTTAATTATATACTGAAGAAGCTCCTTCACATGAGCCTCTACTCAGCTCTCTTTTTCAACCCTTTGAAAAGACGTAATCATCCATTATAGTCATCACCAGCTTTGTTACTTTTTGTGACTCTAATTGGCACTTTTCTTTTAGACAATGAGGTATAGTGGAAAATATGCTCATCTAGGAGCCAGAGGCCTGGTGTTCTAGTTCTGGGTCTATTAATACTTCAATGTGTAACCCTGAGCAAGTCCCTTTACCTTTTTGGGTCTCCTCTCTCCAATCAAATGGCAGGGTTGCAGTGGATTTAGCTAAGCTCTGCTCCTCTTGGAGATTCTGTTATTCTCTCCCATGATGGAAATAAGCAGTAATAGGTTGCTTATCATGGGAAACACAGAAAAGTAAGGCTTCAGACAGCTCCTGGAGTTGGGGACAGCAGGTGGACAAAGGGAAGTACATCCTTATGCAGCATCCCAGGTATTACAGGAGTTTATAGGGGCCGGGGATGCAGAGATTTGCTATGCTAACTGGAACAAGAGGGAAAAGGCCATCATGGCTGGTGCAGAGTGTCATATTGGGAGCAAGGTTTGCTGAGACTTTAAGGAAGGGCAATGTCAGATGACCAAGGATTTCAAATAAGGTGTTTTATTCAGTTTTTTTTTTTTTTTCTGCAGTGACTAAAAGACCTGACCAGGAAGAAAAGTTTATTTGGGGGGTTCATGGTTTCAGATCCAAAGACCACGGACTCCATTCCTGGGGACTGGAGGTGAGGCAGAACAACATGGTGGAAGAGTGTGGCAGAGAGAAGCAACTCACATGGTAATCAGAAAACAGAGAAAGATATCCACTCACCAGATACAAAATATATACCTCAAATCCATACCCCCAATGACCCAYCTCCTCCAGCCACACCCTACTGGCTTTCAGTTACCACTCAATTAAACCCACCAGGGAATTCACTGGCTGTGTTAAAGCTCTCATAACCCAATCAATTCTCCTCTGAACTTTCTTGCATTGTCTCACAACGTGAGCTTCTGGGGAACACCTCACATCTGAACCATAACAAAAGGCAAGGGAATCTGGGCTTCATCAACAAAAAGAGAGCAATGTAAACATCTGATTGAGGAATTAAAACATAAGATAAACTCTTAGAAAATGTGCCTGTTAGGAATGCATTTGGCTGCACCAACCACAGTGCTCTTCAGTGCATCAGGGTAGACTTGTTTACTTAACAAGGCATCCGGAGGTGGTGATGGTGTTGTTTTGGCAGTGAGATGATGTCAGAGCTATTTCTGCAGTTTTCTTGGCCTTTTACTTCTGGTTGCAAGACAGCAGATACAGCTCATGCTTGTGTGTGCATGTAAGGGGGAAAGAAAAAGTAGAAGCAGGGAGGGTTGTAGCAGTTATGCTTTTTTCTTTATACCACAGAAATTGTTCAAAGAAACCTTCACCAGAACTGCTAAAAGGAAATAGAGCTAGACTTCTGTTTCTTAAGGACTATAGGTTGGCTTCATGGTTATCCTAACCACAAAGAGGCTTCCAAACCTCCATAGAAGCCATTCCTGACCTGCTTTCACTTGCGGTCTTTTGCTTTGCATTATGAATTGATCGTGTTGGTTTGTTTGGTTGTGATATTTTGGTAGCAAACTCGGAACAATTTTAGAAACTTCCCACCTTTATATTCCAAGCAATTGACACTGTGCTGGCTTCACAGTGATAACTCATTCACAATTATGAGTGTGAATTGAACTAGGATAGCAGTGAACTGCCTGCCTGTTACTTTTCTCAAATAACCAAATGCCTGTTGTATTGGCCAGAATTTTGTTTTATTATTTTGGCCTTATTCCAACATATTTCATAGCAGTCATTAAAATATATATTCTTGGGTTTGCACTAATAAAACTTTAT